CCAATGGAAATGCCATGCTCATTTGCATATCAACCGTGAAAATACCGAAAACATTGCATGGGTGATATGCAAATTAGTTTTAGTAAAAATAAGTGACTGCCTAAAATTACCATTACTGTTCATATTTCATTTCACTTGGCAAGTATATTCATGTACCCTATCGTACTTCTAAATGTTGTTTATTTCTGCCATCTTTCGAAAAACGGTACTCCTGAAGGGCCTGCTTTGTTTGCTCTCAGACCTCATTTGCATATGGAGTGTGGAAATACCGATTTTGATTTCAGGGACGAATCAAAATAAACTGAAGTACTTATGTAATATTTTTTTGTAGTGCTTAGTAGTCTTACATCGATGGAAATGTTGGGCGCTGAGCTAGAGATTGCATCAAAGAATAATTCTAGTAGCATTTTGTCAGATTGAATGTACGTCTTTCACCTAGAGAATTATAATCCTAGAGTGTTCACAGCAACACCGAAACATATACCGAGACTAAAGTTGCTTACTTACATGTGTTTGTGGAACTCAAAATACTAATTTAGGACCAGTGTGTCACAAGTATCCTCATTCACTTGCATGACATGGACGCAACAAACATAAATCAAGCGAGCTTTTTCCCCTTTGCTCCTCGAGGGGTTTCCTAATCCTAATCATCTTAAAAAATCATTTTTATAAACGAAATGAGTGACTCATTTTGAAACAGAACATCTACAAAATAAAAAAGTATTTTCACTAAATATTTACATCACATTACAATAATGGTCACCTTTTTTTCACTAACGCCAAATTAAAGCTTACGATGTAGCAACCACGCATATGCAATACCTATCATTCTATTGGTGAGAGTGTCTCTCCGGCTCCATTGAAATGATCATGGTTTTGCAGTTGGTTAGTAATACAAAAAAAGTAGTAATTTATCAAGTAATATTTCGAGCATAGCAACAAATAAAATATTTGGTATTAAACTGAGTAATATTTTAGTGCTATTCCCGGATATATAGCCGTTTTGGAATAATTCTGTGCATTTTTGTATATTGATGGATTACACCTAAATGTAGGCATATATGAATCTGTTTCGGCATATTGTTAGCCGACTCCACTAAACCTGCTAGAGTTCAGCCACTTCTAAGAATGTTATACCTGTTTTGAGCAAGCAGCAGGTACAGCTGACATTTATGATATAATTGGTTCACCCTAGTGATGATTACACTGAAAAGATCCCACAATATGTCGTTACAATGCGTGTATTTACACCATTGACAACTCGCAGAATATACGAGATGTCATACTAATATGACTAGTCAGTCTGTGTGACAGATTAACGGGTCGAAACAATGCTTTCCGACTTAATAATTTATAATGCACAAAAATCAATATAATGCGTTAACACAATCATTAATAATCAGTTATAGTTTTGTTGTTCACAATTCCCGTGGGTTATTGTGCTTAGAATGGGGAAAAGCCTGTTGAATGAATTTAATTTACAAAAAAAACGTTTATCAAATATAAGGAGACTGATGCAATGAATACACTTCATTCAAGCAGCCTGAGCTTTAGATTTTTTCTTTATAATGATATATTATGGTCAATAAACAATGTTCTTTGGGGAAAAACATTCATGTTTATTTGGGGGCTCGATCGCGAGAACGTTATTTTTTGTTTTTCTTCTTGTATTTGTACTTATTGTTTTGAAAGCAAATGCAAATTATTATTATTATTATTATTATTATTATTATTATTATTATTATTATTATTATTATTATTATAAGAATGCACGAAGGCAGTACGGCGATTGTGTCGACCGACACAAATCAATAGTTTTTGCCTTAATAAAAAAATAACACCGAAATTTGTTTTACTTAAAATATAAAAAAAAAAGGAAAACGTTCGAATGTGGTGTCATTAATCTGGAACATCTTCAATGTCGATGGTGTAGCTTAATCTATTTACAGGGCAATTCGAACGCTGGTACGACTGTAAATACGATTTTTTTTACGCAACGTTAATTTGTATTGTTTTCTGTTTTAGATCTATAATGATACAAAAAATAAAGTAGATAGTTATTTTGGAATTTGTTAATACAAAATATTCCCCAGCGACGGACACATGTAATCCCCAAAACAAGCCTGTCAATTTCATACAATGAATTATGTTATGGTAGAAGTCTAGTCACGAAAACACACGGAATTTAGTAATTTTTCAATAAATTGTACTCCGTCAATATAAGGATAATGAATTGAACACACTGGGTTCAGAAGTCTATTTTTTGATAAATTGATAGTTTTAGTGAATGGCTTTAATTTTGTCTTTATTAACACCATTTCATTATCAATTCGTACGGTGGAGATATTATGCCATGTCTCAAATTGTAGTCTAATGACATAGGGAGAAAAATATTTATGTAATATATATGTATTTCTAATCATTATTTCATTCATTTCATTATTAAACATCTTGGTTTTAAATTGTCAATAAATACAATTTTGCTTTAACGTTGTGTTCTATAGAATAGTTTTTTTTTTAATTAACCTTTGGCAAGAATTCTCAAGTTATGGTACTGCAACGCACGAACAAATGTTACTCTATGTTACAATGGAACTACATGTCAATGAATGTAAAAATATTGACCACTTAATAAAACAAGATTATTGACTGGTATTTGTCGGCAATATTACAATATTCACATTCAGTATTGTGCAAAACAAACGTGCACACGTATGAAACTATTGCCATTACTTTTTATTTCCAAATGAAAGTAAAATGAACGAATTTTATTTTATGGAAGTAAATGTCGGAGTATATGTACAATGGTATGTCATTACAAATGGTATGCTAAAGAAACATAAATAAACATAATCACTTTATTGTCAACATCCGAGGGCATGATTTATATATATATATATTCTTAGGTAAACATAAATACCACACACAATTCATTTGGTAAAAAACATGACATCAGCAATCATTACAGAATTCTTGAGTACAGACAGAATATAATTACAAAATATATTGTAAAGCTATTACGTCAGCAAATTATTCGTCTGGATTTCTGTGTTTGTCGATATGTGCTTCCTATGACGTGTGATAGTGTGGCAGTACACTTTTGATTACTGTGCACTTATTCTGCTTCCACTGACCCTACGACATTATAGAAGTACTGTTAAATATTTTGTTATATATTGGGGTAAAATAATTTTCCTGTCAAATGTAGATATAGACATTCCCCTTTACTTGCTTAATTTATATGAAACGGTTCCCTATTTAGTAACACTAGAGGGGGCTGTATTATTTCAGTCTCGTCATTCGCGTTATTGGTATATAGTAGCATATATATATATATATATATATATATATATATATATATATAATTAACTGAAGACGAGCACATTCGCGCAACAAAGACTTTCACAGAGTAACATTTCATTAATGTTCTGGTATCTGTCACAGCTTGTCGATAGATCGCAAGTTCATAGTTCAGAAAATTGTTCGTAAGTAAGCTTTGACTCTTATATTATTACGTTGAGAGGCTGAAAATCAGCGAAGGTAATGCCTATGTGCAAATCTGGCCCTAAAACTAATGTAAATGCTGACCTAGCGATTACTGTTTTACTAATTGTTTTCAAGATAATGGAACGAGTGGTCCATATGCAGTTATGTGGCACCAGTGACCTGACTATGCTTTCTTGACGTGAGGGCGCTTTAAAATGATATAAATCATTTCTTTCAACCTTACAAGCGTAGTAACGATTAATAAGTCAATGTCAGAACCCACTCAGATTAGGACCAACGGTTTTCACTATATTAGACACTTGTTGTTTTACTACATGCAAAATGCCATACAATAACCTGAAATCAAAACGTTTGCTGAGGACAAAAATTTGAATATTCTTTCAACATATTTTAAATGTAATAAAAGCTTGATTTGGTAAAGACACAGCCTGTGTTATTCGACACTATACAAAGTTTGGCAAACTTGGCAAAACTCAACATACAAGTTTAGAGAAAAAAATATATGACAGATAGATTGTTACAAATAAATGTGTATCAGTGTCAGCATTTTGATTAAAGTATAAGTCAATTATAATTATGCTAATACAACTTTATGGCGCAACAGTCCACTAACCTTCGATAGCGGAAGGTATTCTTTCAGTGTCTTTTGTCGACATTTACTAGGTTAACACACTCTTTTTGTTCCAAACAGTCTGCGTTTACTAGTTTGTTTTGCTCTCAGCATTGCCTGATTACTAGGAAAGTATTTTCCCTTCGTAAAAACTTGCCCCCTTTACTAATTTCTTTGTTCCAAGGAATGACCGTTTACTGAGAAAGAAGTACGTGAAGTCCAGTACGTGGCTGTTTTCACTCGACCTAATTACAAGCACAATTGCCCCTTTCTCAATTTAAAAAAAAGTCAGTCACATGATTTCTTTCTGAATGCAGTAGCACACATGGTAAAGAGGTCGTTCGCGCATAATACCGGAGGTAACATTTAACACTGCTCAAATCAATTGATTTTATTTTCTCTCTATGCCCACGAAATACTATCAACATTATAATCCTTTCGTCGAGCGGAACTAATCATATTACCGATTGTCCATAAATTTAATTGTAATTTTATCGAGTTTTTTGAAACCGCAAATCTGATTGATTTTATATATGGTATATGCATAGACCTCTCTTTGATTTGTTCATTTCGTGATGACACATTTAATTCTCTAATTTTGATTAATATTTTTGTAATGTTTATAAAATGTGATATTTTCGTCTTAAAAGCAGCTCATACAATTGCTCTATATGTGTATGTCTAGGTACTTCGTGTGGACTCGTTTAATATTTGCTCAGATTGCTTGTGAAATGTGCATTGCTAACTGCGGGGCTAAATTAGGCAAAAGGCTGCTTGTTAAAAATAGTGTTAATTAATTGACCTACACGATAGTCACTGAAGACGGGATTCTGTTAAAATTCCATTTCGTTCATTACACAATCAAACAAACACGGTGTATTGCTTCAGAAATATTTTAATTTGTATTCCATCACCAAATCTACAATACGTTTTTTTAGCTAGCTTAGTTACAACATGAAATAAATGAATATAAAACAAGATTTTCACGGACATGACACTGCCATGCCCAGGTCATCCGCAAACACGAAACCGAAGTCAATCAGACGAACTGAAAATATATAACGTGACCAAAATTAAATAAATCAAAGTGAACAATGTGTAAGTACATATCTGTGGATTAGGATCTTTCCACATTTCATAAAAGAACAAATATTTAGAATTAAAATATCGATAATCGGGAAAAAAATCATCAAAGTGGTGTCGGTGTCGTTCCTTTCGTCTTACGGGTTCATTAGTTTGTTTCATCTTCACTGAGTTTATTCATTGCATCTAAAGAAAATAAGACACAATAACGCAATTATTATCTAATTATGCAGAAAATACAATGATCAGGCTATGTATTTGACAATGATATAAAATGTTCTATTACAATTCTTCTACGGACTTTTTACACGAACTAGTAGATAGTGTATTACCTCTCGCCGGATGTCTTCCTAAAAGGTCCGTGAGTTATAAATGAATCGTTTGGTAGATCAGAGTATTCTTCTCTTTTACGTCCTTTGTCGACGCATCCCTAAAATCAAGTCACGTAATATGTTGAATGACAGCAATGTGCAGGCAATGCATACTTTGTTTTGTTACACACAATATACAACATACGATTTTAGGATTAGTTTGGGCACACGTACCTGATCACAGCGTGTTCCAACCTCTGCTTTCTTGCAAATCACAACCGCACAATGGATATACAGATCAACTTGCTCATCATCAGGAATGTCAACATAAACGTTGACAACATCATATGCATCCCAAATAAAACGTTTGGTACGATCGTCGGCTGAAGGTTCTTCCATCACTGTTTCATCAAGGCATCTATGATCATAATAACATAATTTAGTAATGTTATTTAATAAAATTCTGCTATTGTATTAGTCGAGTAATTCGCTAGATAAACTGGATAATGCACACATTAAATCATAAATATTTCACCCGTTAGTAATCATTGGATATCTGTCGTCCGAAGAATGTGGATTGTCACTCTGAGATGCAAAGCAGTCCACTACGAATAATTCCAAACTGTCATCTCCACTATGAGTTGATATACCAAAGTATATCAGGACGCCATCGCACACTTCAACAGGGAAATCCACATTAGGATCCATTATAGCTGTGAACGATGCATCTTTATACAAGGTAGCCGTGACGTTGAATTGCCCAAAACCTTTCAGTTGTATTAACACGGAGCTTTTAAAACAAAGTACAAATTAATTAATTGTGCAATATCTATATGATAGAATAAAATAGCCTTTAAAACATTTAATTTTGATTTCGGCTGCTATGACCCACCTGTATGTACGTCATCTATGACAACATGCAATTATGTGATGAACGCGATTTAGTGGATTGACACAAGCATATTCGACAATGTGAAAATCCTACCACAAGTAGGATATCTTTTAAAGCTCAAATTGTCGCTCTTAATAATAAAAATCAAACGTAGTAGTAGTAAAACGTAGTATATAATACAGGATATACTGTCGTTCTACTCTCTTATCAAATTACAATTTGCTTGTTTAGTGTATTTCATTTGAGGTAGATTATACAAGTCCAAGATTGTCCGAAAGTACCGCGAATATCGCTCAATAAGAATTACATAATAGTAAGCTTTATTGTGGAAAGCATACCAAGGATTAGCTTCAATATATATAGGTGCAATAATATATTCAGTTCCATAGCAACACAGTAGCTCTATGATTTTAGTTCCTCTTTCCGTATAGACCATGTTTATGTATTCTATTGACTTGTCTTTTGGTTTCTCCTGTGAAACAACAAAGCAGAACTTATGGTAATTGTGACGCCCTATGCTAAATGTTTCCTGTACAACTGAGTATATAAAATGTATTTATTAGTCTCCAATCTTATGTACAAATAATTGAATACATATAAATAACTGACGTTCATGTTAAGAAAGTATGAGAAATACAAACTTCGTAGTATTCACAATATTTTAAAACACTCACGTTTCTGAAAAGCACAACGCAACTACAATGCTAGGTTTGTCTGTAACAATGTGTGTGTGTGAAATAGAATGTAGAATTTTAGACACAACATAGCAAAATGTAAAACCAGCTTTCAATACAGTACAATTTTTATTTATTTATATTTTGTTTTCTGTATATATAAATATACAGTTTCATATACAACTTCTTTACCTAACCATGCCTCTCCCAGTCCGTACAAAAATATATACGTTTTTCTTCAAAACAGACTATGATTTTTTTTTGTAGTAGTTGTTCAGAAGTATGGAAACTCATTCATTCATCTACTACTACTAAAATGACCTATGTCATCAATATACAATTCAATAGTTTTCACAATTATTCTTTCTATCTATCATGCATGTATTATGTATTTACAAATAATAAATTAGCACTACCACCGAAGTTAAACGTATCAAGTTTTTTTATGTAACAAAATACAGTTTACTTACTATAGAGATAGTACCACAATCAAAAAGGAATGTTTCAAACAAAAATGCATCTTCGCCATCATGAATAACATCTATACCAGTACACGCTGGATCATTCAGATGAAAGTAAGACGCATTTGCACCGGAATGATGAAGGAGCTCCAAAATATAACTCTTGCTAACAACTGCACTCATTTTGGTTTCACTGCATATTATGCCATCTGACTCTGAAATAGTGATTAGTGTGATTGTTTTATTCTATAACATAACCATTCACACACAACACAATATCAACATAGACTTACATTCATAACGTATTTTTATCTAAAATTCATTCTAACATTACAATAACACATCATGTTTTACTAATCCTGTTAACAGATAAAAACGCACCTTCTTCACAGTGTTTTCCGTGATGTCCTTCTTGGCACTGGCAGTGATAACCCTCAGAACTATCATTGACACAGAGTCCATCGTTCTGACATGGATTGGGTTGACATGAATCTGGGATCAATTAATAGAAACCTTGTTGAAAACGGTATTTATGTGTTATGCAGTCATTCGTGTAGCAATTATACGTTACGTTTCACCAGCAACAAATACCCCCGCCTCCCCAATTAATCACATCACGTTATATGTTAATTAAAGGGCGGTAGTCGTTGCGCCACGCAAGCGCGAGAAATATGGGTCTCATATAAACAAAGATGGCGACTTTGACTGTTGCGCAGATCAACGAGTACATATTGACACCTTTCAAAGCTATAACTAGGTTATATTTGGGTGATTGGGAGGTAGTCGAGCCCAAGTTAAACCTCATACTTGTGATTTCTTTTTGAAGAGTTCTTTGGATTATGGGAAAAATCAAAGTTTATCAACACAAATGTCGCACATGGTCAGCGCGACGACTATCGCGCTTTAAATTATACGTCGGCCTTTTTGTGGAAAGAATCAAAAGAATCAATGCATCTGTCGGATCATCTGTCCGTGGAAGACGGCTTCTCAAATACTGCTTAACGTTTTAACTTGCTTCGGGAGTTCAGATGGGGCTTTGTTCGGTAATGAAAACCACCAAAAATTTGGTCTTAGACTTGCATAGTATCTATCTATTGTATGTTTGTTGGTGTTTGTTTTCAATAATATAAAACTTTGGGAATGTATAACTGGCAAAAGCTTCCCGACATCGCGACCAGAAGAGTACCCATCCACGACCTCTTCCTGGTATTTTAAAGCGATGTATAGTCCAGTATCCTAGTAGTCTTCCAATGCCATCATGAAAATCTCAAAAAATAAAGGGAAATCCAAACGCGCGAAATTGCAGTTTTGGTGCTGTTTCTAATAAACTGTCAAATCAAACTCAAATGTTGTCCTTAACGCTGATTGATGGGATTATAATGACCTTCTCAATCATTGCATGACGCATTGAAATCAGACCGGTAACAATCATCACCGATGTCGCGAGTGGGCGTCTGCAAGATTCACATGTATCTTGTGTTTTTTTAGCGATATTCCGGCTTTTGCCATTCACACAGTCCCATATTTTATTGAAAAAAACACCTAATAATAAAGAGACTGTATGCAAGTTTATCTTTTTTTATTTACTGTTTTTCTTTGACACAGATTTTGATATGTTGTTGCAGATGCCTAGTGGGGACCACTATGAGATTTGTTTACTACGTTTTTTTTCATAAAACCATGCATCAAGTTCCTTTTATATTTTATAAGTAGGTACCTTTGGTGGATATCTATCAGAGAACAGTAATTATGTGATGATACTTTCAATTCTCTAATTACATAATGGTGCATGTTCTATATCTAATAATGATAAATGTCACCTGTACAGTTCTCTTCATCACTACCATCCCAGCAATTATAATAACCATCACAAATTTGGAAGGCGGGAATACATTGTCTATGGTGGTGGTAATAGTGATAGTAGTAGTAATAGTAGTGATAATAATACTCGTACTTTGTACAGTTGAATTCACAAGCTGAAAATGCAAAATGACATGTCATAAATAAATAGATGGTGACGTAGGGTTGAAACAGATATGTCCTGTTTATGTTGTCTTAAAGTCCTCTACTTGAAGGCATATTTAACAACCATAAAATGCACAATTTATAGATGATGTGGTTGAGGATATAGAATAGATTCGTTTATTATCGCATGTTAAATCACCTTCTGTGTTTGTTGTGTGTGATAGAGCGTATTCGACAATAAAAGGATATTTACCTGCTCTGTGTTATCGATAGTGTATTTTTAATGTACATTAACGAATATTCATGCTGTACTGAATTATATTGAGATCATATTCCAGGCACAAGACCAGCTAAACTAATGTATTATACTTGAACACCTAATAATTGTTCTTTCTATGATGGAGAGTTTTTTTTTTTTTTTTGACATTTTATAATTTACAAAAAGAGTGTATATTGTGTTGAAAATATCAATCTCAGGTTCTTTATCAAGTTCTGTTTGCTGTCCTCAATTAATCTTTATTTTGATACATAGGCGCATCTTTTTATATTCTAGTATTGTTACTTGCATCGTTATTCCCTAGTTTATATTTTATTAGGCAGTACCCTTGGGGTTCAAATATCATAATATGTTCCAATATACTGTCAATGCTTTGACATTTTTATTTAAAATAACAGCCCCATACATCGCTGTGTATATCTTTGTGCGAACACATTTGCACTATTGTCAATAATGTCTATATGAAGCAAGAAATATCTGAAGATAACTGTAATGGCCCGAATTTATAATCAGTTATATTGGTTATGTTTATCTGTGTTACCAAATCTAGATGTACAAACACAAAAGTGAACATTTATTAAACTCACGACAGTTCAGTTCATCACTGGCATCTCCACAGTCACTATGGCCATTGCATACCATATATTTTGGGATGACTCTTCCATTATTGCATTGAGAATGCAATGCAGAATCGTATCCTATGTGATAATATAATATTTCCCGTATATTACTTTCAAATATATAAAGATCTGGCGGCGTGGCAATACACATGTAATATACAGTAAAGCTATCATCTTGTATACATACCACAGTTTTCATCGCTCCAATCACCACAAGCATCATATCCGTCACACAAATTATAATCTTCAATACAGCGACCATTATTACACAAGAAGGACCCTTTTCGGCAACCAACTACAACGATGAATGTAATTCTATTATTACAAATTATTATTAACAAATGAAAAGAAGACAAAAACAACATATTACAGATTTACTATTTGATCAGTTTAATGGAAAATTATATATATGCTATCGACGAATGGCTACAGTTCCTTTAACTTAAGTAACTTTTTCAGGTTTAGTTGTCTCATAAAATTATAAAGTAGACAAATTGTTTTACCACAATTGATTTCGTCGGAATCGTCCCAACATTGACTGTATCCATCGCATTGTAACTCGGCTGCTATACACCGTCCATTTTTGCATTTGAAACTTGTCTCATCATTGCAATCTGATAAATATATATGATGTAGGATATATACAGAAACCATTTGATTATAAATAATGATAATTTAAGGGTAGCATGTGCAGAGCAGGATTTGCTTATATCTTAGACTTTTGTACAAAAAACAAATTAGGCTTAAGAATGAGGTACCTTGCTCTGAATAACACAGCATAGCATTCCCTACATTCATCAGCGTACCAAAATATTTTAACGACTATTTTATATATTAGCGTAATTATCGTCGACTCTCAGGACACACTCGTCGTCAGCAGACTATATCACCATCCATGTGTTTGAGTGATAAATTTTCCTTGCTGTGGGACTACATGTCTGAGTTCCAGATGTATTGACGCATAGATTTATAATTTTCGTTAGTTAGTTAGTTAAATATTCAGATGTGATAGGTAATACAATCACGTAAAGTTATTTTGCTGTTGATGATCTCTGAACAAAATCAACATTTTCTGCAAAACATTTCACAATGAAATTGCTTTACGGTGAATGATTACTATTTTACTATTTTTTAAGCATACCCCGTGCAGAAAGAAATGCCATAGGTAGTCCAGACGCTGAGCAACAAATGCAACAGGGTCTGATGCAGCAAACGATGCAATTCGTGATTTAGGTCCATGGCTAATGTTGCTGCAAATTATATCAGACTGTCGCAGTAATAAAACTGTCATACAATACCTTATTATGACTGCTTTTCTAACCATCAGCGCGAAACGGATACGACTCGGATGGCGATGCACGACGTATTATCCTACAATTGTTGAAATACTCACCACAGCCAGATTCATCACTTAAGTCACCACAGTGATTGTAATTGTCACAAAGGTCATGCCTATATACGCACCGTCCATTTTCGCATTGAAACTCATAATGGCTATTGCATTCTGTAATAAGAAATGGTTTTATACGTAAAGGGCCATGTATTTTTCAATACGTTGTAGCTCTGACTACGATGTGACTATATTAATTTGTGCTGCACGTACCTGTATTATTACATTCTTTCTCGTCACTGTAATCACCACAATCATTATCATAATAATCACAAACTTTATAATGCGGAATACACATGCCATTATCACATAGAAAATAACCATCAGAACAATCTATCAGACAAAAAAAGAAGATGAAATTAAGATCGATTCTCATTTGTCACACAATAGTGTAATTATTAGTTGTTAATTTAAAATACAAACTAACTCCATGATAGTAATAATAACTAACCAGATAAATAAATAGATTGAGCACTATCAATGTATTACCTCCGCAATTTACTTCGTCACTTTGGTCCCCACAATGATCGTAACCATCACACACTGCTTCAATAGAAGTACATCTCTTGTTATTACACGTGAAGTGATTTGTATTTGAACATTCTGTAATATAAACATACACTTTTCAGCTGTAACATTGTATTATGTTATAATCGAAACAAGATTTCATATATTCGTGTTAAACTGCTCTTAATTTAAATGATACTTACTACAACCAATTTCGTCTGACCAATCGCCACAATTATTATAACCGTCACACAATTGGTCACGATTTATACACAGTCCATTGTCGCAATGGAAACTATATTCCCAACAATCTGTAATATGATAACACAATTACTTATCATGAGTAAATATAGAAATCAGAAAGGCTTAGAATTATGTAACACTCGGCGGAGAACAACCAATTCACCACATCCCAAATGACGTGGGGTTATTAACTGCGCTTTATAAATTGTTCAATCTATGTTTGGATGTGTGTCAAGCTACGACCGACACCTACTGATAATGAGTCCTATCTAAATCAGGTTTTCTTAGTATAACAGTTGATTAACATACGTGGATGATCTGTTATAATAATTATAACGTACGTATATATGTTATGTTATATATATATGTGTTATGTTATAAATGTAAATATTTAAACAATATTATCTTACTAGTGCAATTGATTTCATCCGAAATGTCCGGGTGCCCACAGTCTAAATAACCATTACATACATCCCATTCCTCAATACAAACACCATTGTCACATAGAAACATATAGTCACTATTGCAAGCTAAACAAAAACAAATATTTGTGTTGCCACGATTATGTTGTCAATATTGATATTAGTTGAAAACAGCTGTGTGAAAATAACAGTTGTTGTACTCACTGCAATTCATTTCATCACTCTTGTCGTCACAGTAAGCCCATCCATCACATTTTGAATCGTACCACCCCGTACACATACCATTAGCACATCGGAACCCATCGCAATATTCATATGCTAAAATTGAGAATGTCAATAAGAAAACAGAATGGTAAATGAATGCATGAATAAAGTTTGAACACAATATATTCATTTTATATTGTATATAGAAATATGGGATAAGGACGGGAGATTAATATGCTTTTTTGGACAAAAAAACAATAATTCACTGACTACATATCAAGGAAACAATATCGAAATACACTTACTGCAATTGTTTTTTTCGCCTTCATCCCCCCAATCACCACAGTCATTATCACCATCACACAATTGCCAATCATAAATGCAAACTCCATTACTACATAATACTTCGTTGGTGTCGTTACATGCTAGGAGTAAAAATGTTAGTGTTTAAATTGGTGATATATTTGGACGAGAAAACCCACCACAACGTTATTTTCAAAGTACACCCACACTTCACTGTCGGTAAATTTAAAATGTGTGAAGTACGCACAGAAAATAACCTCGAAATTCACAATAATGTCGAATTATTTAAACTGTTCCTGTAGTAAGAACGACACGTTTGTTTTGTTTTTTTAAAGCAGCATATATGAACAATCAGACACAAAACTGCACTTACTGATGAGTATAATACTGAAATTGAAATTGATCATGGCACCTTCGCCACAGTTTTTATGGATGAAAATAACACAACTGATGTACACTACGTCATCTGTATGTGCACCCAAATACGGAGTCGGTATAGGGCTTATTTAAGTTATTTTTCATTAAAACGATAATCACTCATAAATCACTCATGTTACGTGAAATATATAAATAATAACGCTGAACATAAATAAACTTTTTGGAAGAATGATAAAACACATCAAAGTGACTTTCTAACTGACGTCCAAAAAATGATGGCGTTCAAAACACCTTATCAAAATTCAGAATCCGTAAACGGCAATACAATCCAATAACTTTTAATAGCAACTGACTATATTTACCACATCCAATTTCATCACTAAAATCAGTTAATCTACAATTCAGATAATGATTACACCGTGATGTTTCTGGGATACATCGACCATATTCACATTCGAATCCTTGGCACGCATCACCTAATACACGATATAAACAAAACTTAATGTTATGTATTCAGTGTTTGGCCTGAATAATAATGATGAATGATGGCATTGGTGAAGAAGCATTCCTCTGCCTTGAATGTCATTATCATAAATATATGATATACAACATGATGTATTACCATTATTTAACGTAGTAGACTAAGATAATTTGAAATTATTTTCTTTATAATATTCAGTTCGAAGATATAATTATATTATGCACACACTAGTCTACACTTTTGGAACAATTATTGAAAAGAAAATGAAATGGCAAGCAAGATTAATACCAACACACTGGGTAAATTTAAGTTTGTGCCCATTATTGAGAGGAGGTAATATGCTTGCTACAATATAATAATTACAGTCACATTGTGTTATAAATCTGGCGTACGAATATAATTATAATACTTACCACAGTACAATTCATCTTTATTGCAGGTATTGTGACCATCACAAACCATGCTACTTGTCAAACATCCCCAATTCCAATATCCACAATCAAAGGCCCCAGGTAAACTACAGTCTATTTATTGGATTCAAAATTTTAATAATTATTCAAGCAACAGTGAGTAATTCTTCATGGATTTAATCACATTATTGTATTTTGCTGGCGTGACGGAATGGGTAGAACCAGACATAGTGGCGATGTATGATTGGAAACAGACTTTCGATAAAGTGAGTGAGACATTTGACCATTTTGCCTTTTCAACTCGGTAGCAGGGTCAATCACAAATATAGCAAATCGTGTATAATAAGTTTGTAGGTGCGCCCTCGTAAATTTTATTTTGTGAAATTGACGCGTGAGTACGAACACGTGGTCTACACAGCAACATCCCTAACAAAGTAATTTGCTTCATTTATTGAAAACCACCATATATATAGTATTAATATACATCTGTCGCCGTAACGCCATAAGTTACAACGTGCCGTAATTTTGCGGTATTTCAAGGGGTATTTTCATCCTACTATATTAGGAAATGCGAACTCCAAATATGGAATGATTACGTACGTACGCGCCCTCTAATAATAAAAACAAACATGGCTGCCACCAGGGTTTGACCGGACTCCACACAAAGAAGTTCGCTGACTCTGCTCTAAACTTTTTGGATTTCGGCATTCCCATGATGTATCCTTGGAAAGAAAAGATGTATAATAATAAGTTTATTACGAGGAT